GATAAGAAACACTGCCGTATAAAATGTCCTTCCAAAGCAGGGTCATAATTTTGTAGTAATAATGAGTGTCATTCCGTTAACAATAGCTGATGCTGACTGTACATTTATCTGTATAGATGTTGGTTCTTATGAGAGAGAAAGTGAAAGTTCTGTATTTTGTAATGCTGCATTTGGGGAGGGTCTGTTTAAGAGTGAAGCGTTTGTCATAAGTGTTCCGGATGGCGAATTAAAATTCCCACACTGTGAGAGTGCATGTCTCGTTTGCAATAGTTGCCGATGAAACGGATATATTCTTACAAATGAAAGATTTTCAATTATTTGCTGAGCAAATCACGACGAGGGGGCGAATTTCTTTCGGACAAAATATTTATCTTCATTCTACAAAACCGTGGGAGTAACTGCAGGATAATGGGCCGCGCCATAGCTCAAACGGTTAGTCGCTGGCTTCCCACCGCGGTGGCCCGGGTTCAATCCCGGGTCTGGTCAAGTGGGATTTGTGGTGGACAAAGTGGCGTTGGGGCAGGTTTTCTCCCCTGCCAATCTTCATTCCACCAATTTCTCCACAATCACCCTCACCTATCATCTGGGGCTGGTACAATAGGCCAGAAGTGGCCGCAGTACAAGGGACTTAGTCCCACCCCACTAGCAATAAAGAAACTGCTGGATAAGCCTGAAATTTTGATTAGAAGTGTAAGATCTGAGGTTTTCACGGCGGTAATGCCGTCTTGTTGGATGAGGCGCCGTGTAGATGTTGTGTGAACCAACGTTTCAGAGGAACGTATCGCCTCCATCTTCAGGGTAGAAAAATTCGCAGTCACCTGCTCACGCTGGTTCCTCTCTTGCGGATTCTTTTACTCTGAAGATTGTGGCGATACGTTCCTCCGAAACGTCCGTTCACACAAAATCTACAGGGCGCCACATCCAAGAAGATTCAATTCTTTTGTTAGAAGTGTTTGCGTTTTGCGTAATTTCGTAATAAAAGAAACCAGAAATGGATATAACGTTATTTTACAGCGAGCAGTAGAAGCAGTGATTGAAGATTACAGCCTTCTTACAGGTCACGTGGCAATTAGGCCAAACATTCGTTCTCCTGACATAAGACAGAAATTTTCAAACTATTTGGTTTATCCTTCTGGGGAACTTCAGTGGTAGAATAATCCCGTACGGTAGACCTCTTCCATATTATCATTTCAGTTTTTGCTGTAATAAGTAACCAACAAAATCTGCAATATTCCATTCTATTAGAACTGAAATTACACTGTAAATAATATTGTCACGATTTGGGGGTGATGTTTGCGTGACACGTAAGACGGGTTCTGGACTGGATGAATAAATGTATTGACACCTTATACACACAACTCGAGACTACAGGCAATATAGCTATATGGCTGATTCACGTACTGTAATGTTCACCGTTACACACGCACTAGTCTTCATTAGTGGCATCCCGGCAACGGATTTATAACAGTCTCACGGTACCTTCAAATCATACACGAAGTCTCCTTTGCACCGCCTAATTCATATCTTGTCATTTCTTCTCAATCATCTTCGACTGCCATCTCCAGAACTCGACCAATTTCTCGACAATAGCAAATTCAAACGACATTCTTTGTCTCTTTATAACCCCTCGGCAGGGACCGCGCAGAAAATAGCCTCTCTGTTATTGATAAAGCTTGTTTACTGATCCGTTGCCTAGCAATGGACGTCCTATTGTTGCGCGCATACGCTTCCACGGAAATGTGTTTACCGAGTCATTGCCTAACAATGGATCTATATGTCATAATATTTAATTACAGACTACTTTCACACCCTATCTCCTCTGTATCTTCACACACTTTCTGGGAAATGCCTCCGTTACTGTGCTTTTTGTCCTTTAAATCATACAGGAATGATATCTCCGGTACTCACTGAAAGGTTCAGAATCAAAATTGCACATATTTCCGGTTCCGCTGCTCGTGATGACTGGCAAGGAACTGCGTATGAGCCGTCATTTTGCAGACAAACCACCACGAGATTTGTCGTTTCTGCCTCTGGCTTATACTGTTTGATCAACCACATTTAATTCTGTTATCAGAGTTTCCAAACAGTCAGACTGCTCTGGTTTCGCCTGTTTCGGTGTGATCGTACCCATAATGTAACCTGCCTGCGACATTAATGTAACAGAGGGCGTTTATCGCTATTGCAAAATCTTGTCCCTTTGATTCAGGGAGTGATATAAAATGGCGGACGTTCGCTTGACATTCGAACAACGTGAGAACATTTTGAAGTGGCACTGGAAACTCGAGGATAAATGTGGAATGTAAAGGCAGTGGATACGTGAATTTGCAACTATGCTACCAATGCGACCAACAGTTTCAAGATTCCACTATAAATTTGTGACTGACGATGTTCTGCAAGACATGTAAAAGCAACGCTCTGGGAGAATTCGCTCATCAGAGACTGAGGAAAATTCTGTTACTGCGTTACTGAAATTCACGCAATTACCAAATAAATGTCATTCTTGACTTTCCAGTACCACTTAAAATTTAACTGGCGTTGCTGGAATGTGTAGAGAACCTCCGCCATTTTGTAGTACGCTCTGAATCATGGGTGAAGTATTACAGTTTTTAAATGTGACTAATGCCATCTGTTGAGTGCCTTTCACAGTACTTGAAGCACATGAAATGTTGGTTCCACAATGAATAAGTGAACAGAAATTCTTTACAAAGTCGAGTATACATTTTCATGAGATGCTCTAGACTTCTAAATCCTGAACGCTCTCTTTTTCCCTTCTATCCCATGTTATTCTGTCTCGTCCCCATGCTCAAACTCTTCTCTAGTTACCTCAGTGCACACTGGCACACGCTAGACACATGACACACAGTCAGCCTTCAGTTGTTGACATCCACGTTTTCTGAGAATTTCTTACCGTCATGGAGTCATGAATTTATTCATTCTCATCATCAAAATTCTGCTGCTGGATCCCGTCCTGAGGCAGTTCAATCCAATTAACTAACTAACTAACTTTATGGAGGTGATCCCTTCTTAAGAAGCCGGCAGTCACGCAGCTACTCAAGAATTTCCCAGCATTTTATAGAACCGGAAGGTTCATTACCGTGTTCACAAGAACCCTACAGTGGTCTCTATCCTGAGCCAGAACAGTCGAGTTCATACTATCCCATGCAATCTCTCTAAGATCCATTTTAATGTAATCCAGCCATTTATATCTTGTTCTTACTAATGGTCTCTTTTCTTCTGGCTTTCTCACTAATATCCTATATGCATTCCTTTTCTTCCCTATTCGTGCTATATGCAATGCCCATCTCATCCTCCTTGACTTGTACTCTTCTCCAAATATAATTAGAATGATCAAGTTATGAAGCTCCTCATTATGCAGTTTTCTCCAACCTCCCGTCACTTCATCTCTCTTCGGTCCAAATATTCTCCTCAGCGCCCTGTTCTCAAACACCTTCAGTATGTGTTCCTCCCTTAATGTCAGAGACCAAGTTTACTTTATTAGTCTACCTATATATGGTTCTACAGTCCTTGTGTTCGACCTTGGCCGTTTTTTCAGTTTCTTAATCTATACACAGTCGGTAGGACTCCTTGGATGGGAGATGAGCCCGTCGCAAGGCCGCTACCTGCACACAGATATCCATTCCTTGAGTGAGATTCGAACTCACGATCCCAATGTTCGAGCTAGCGAAGGCAGTTCATGCCTTAGACCGCGCGGTCACTGTGATCGGCACTGTATGTCTTAGCTGTGTGTTATATGCAAGGATGCCGATGGCCAAAGTTAAAACGAATGATACGCACACACACAGAGAAACGCCAAATTTACTGCAGTTTGCATGTTTAAAGACCTCTCCTAATGAAGATCTGTATTGTGTAGTTTGTGAACAGAGACAGTTTCTTTTCATTCGGTTCGTTAATAATAAGAAATGAAGGGGGAGGAAGCAAACTGCAGTCTGGCAGATCGAAATTCCTAATGTTCTCTCTGCGCTTTGTCTTTCCTCTTTTAGTACAAGAGATAATAAGATTCCCTTAAGATGGATTGGACACGCCGAGTTCATCTCCAGACTCCATGTTAAATATTTAAACAGACAATCTAGTTAGCAATTGTTAGGTAGCTTGTGATACTCACACAGAGCAAGTTAGTTCAGCGGCAGTGCTTATGGCTTGAATGTCAGCTACTCAAGCCTGGGTTTGACGTAAAGTGAAGGACTGCATCTCGCCATATTTGTTGTACACGTCACCTACAATGCATAGAATACGAAATGTGAACTCACTACTCGCATTTCCTGCAGAAGGTTTCCCTTCCGTTTATGTCACTTTGAACTCACTCAATTCGATTGCTTTCACAATAGGCCTACTGCAGATTTTCAAAGATTCTGGCGCATTTGCTGAAAACGAGAACTGTGAAACCAGAAAGAAAACGGCCGTTGCTAAGTAATGTCCGCACTCAACAATAGAGGAATTATCACGATACGAGATGTGACGCGTACAGCCGTTACTATGGAACAACTAAGTAAAATGATAAAAATCTACAAAATAAAATGTTTAAGGCTATACGTAACTATGATTTTCCGTAGTCTAGGACTAACGTTCTCACCTCATGACTCAATGTACGCGAGTTCAAACCCGGCGGAGTTCGTGGAAATTTAATGGCGGAAAATTTCAGGGAACAAGTCCTCCGTGAGGGACTTTAAGCAGTGGGTCCCGTGTCGTAGATTTACGGTTCGTAAAAGATCCTCATGTCTCTAGGAGACCTCTGAGCAAAATTAGGTAAAAAGTTTCCCGCCCAAGTAGTTCCCAATGCCTCCGGTAGATGGGGAAGCATCGGGTATCACAGCCAGCCTAGCTGGCTGAACGGGGCTGATAGCGAGCACCAATACCGGCAGGGTATGGAGACTGGTAGAATATCAAAGGTGGACCTACAATAGACTATTAGTCGCGGTGCATGGGGAAACCCACCCACTCCAATAATAATAATAATAACTATGATTTCTGTGCTGTTGCAGGCAATTCCCGTGATGCGTGACCGAGAACCAGTATGAAGGCGTCCATTTTGTTACCCTACGAAGCTCTGAACGCTCCAGGTTGCTGCCGGCTTCATGCCCGCCACGCGGCTATAACCAGCGCCGTCTATACTTTGGTAAGTGCGTGATAACTTAGATCCACAAAAGAACAGCAAGGTTTTGCGATCGAGGGCTCAGACAGAAGAGTTGGACACTTCGTCCCTTCAGTTTGGGCTAACAGGCAACACACAAGCTCGCTTCGTGGTTACAAGTCCAGCAAACTCACTGTACTTGCTGTGTTGTGATTGGGCAACGGAAGTTAGTCAGATGGGTGCGTTCTTCGAGCTACTCCGAAATTAAGGAAATTGCTTATTTTATTATCTGATAATATTTTGGGCCCACAGTAACGAACCAGTACTCAGAAATCAAAATCAAAATAACTTACGACGATATAATCACAGTGAGGTCAGTGAGGTCTTGTGTTTGTAAGCAATTTCCCTACTTTCCAGTCAGTTTGGCCCGTCGGCCCACAAGTTTCCTGATTCCATAAAAATAAAATATTTGCGGTTCGGCCTCAAGTCGATCTTACAATCTTTGTTCCCACGATTGACGTCACATTCAGCTACAGCTTTCAAGATGTCGGGATACTCCAACACATGCGGCTGCTCAGGACAACATTAACAGTACACTTCCCTGCCCATTGATGGACCTATAAACCCACGAACATTGCTGTGGGTCATACAGTTGCCGCCATATTTTTGTTATTTTTCTCGTGGAGTGAGACTGAGTCCACATGGTATTGTGGCCACTGTTTGACCTTTTGTACCAGCCCCAAGTTATCGGTGATGGTGATTGTGGAGCAATCGGTGGATTGCGAATTGACAGGGGAAAGAGAAATACTCGGAGAACACCTTTTGCATTGCCTCTTCATCAACAGACTACATGTAGATATCAGTTTGAAGAAACCGAAACGTCGGTTAACACCACATATACACGGTGCCAAATCCCAGAAGAGTGCTTTCTTCATAGTCACCGCCGTGAAAGCCTCAAATCTTACATAGATATCAGTTTGTTGTCTCAGAACGGAACGCTGTTGCGTGTAGGAGGTTGACGTCCACATTGCATTCGAAAGCGACACTGGACAGCCGTAAGAGATTGCAACTCTGCTAGCCGCAACACGCAATTAACCTGTTCCTGTGGGGTCGACATCGTTGCTGAGCTCGCTCGAAGTCACCAGCTGGCGCATGCGCCTAAGCTGCTCATAAAAAACTTCCGGAATATCCCTTTCCGAATACGTAAACCGGATACGTGTATGGCAATTAGTTTCCCACATATAATTTTCTTGGAGATATTTCACCCGGACGCTCTGTATAATTATATTTGAAATATGGATCCATATAAAAAAAAAAAGTTCAACATGTAAGCACAAGGAGTACACGTGATGATGAACAAATAAATGTTGAAACATGTCATGTTTTAAGATTTTAATATAAATAGCCATATTTATTTATTTTTATAAGAAATTATGTCGAAGGCCGTAAAAAATACTCAATATACGTATCAATGAAATAAATATTGCTCACAAAATACTAAACAAGTAAATAATCAAATAATTTTTTGCGGTGACGGAATGCTGGCCCATCGTCGGACCCCTTTATCTCGAGGGCCAGGGTTTACTCCCTCAGCAACTGTGTACAGGTTCTGCGGCGCCATAAACTCGCCCTCCGTCTGCTGCAATCTCCAAGTTTGCACAGAATACTGAGGAGGGTGGAAATGGAAGGATCGATTATTGAAACTATCGACTGTATCAGGCTTTCATGGTGAGGACACTGGATGGGTGCCGAAGAATATGACGGCACAGAGAAGGAAGATAGGTAGACCGAAGAGATGGGAAGTGTCGAGGGATGTAGGAGGATCCAAGAAGAAGATTGGAGGTATCGAGCAGTGTGGCAAAAAGCAAGCGAGAAGCGACGGCTGCTGTAATCACATATTTGCATAGACACATGCGCGCTCATGTGTGAACATAAGCCTGGGTAGAAAATAATTTAATGTTATTGCATATTTAGTCTAGCTCATGTACCCTCAGGCACGTGGTAGCGTAGTTGGTTGAGGCACGATGCTACAAGCCGGAAGGTGGCTTGTTCGAATCCCGATGAGGTTGATGTTTGCAGTTGACCTAACCATTCCAGCCGCACTATGACCCTGGGGTCGACTCAGCCTCTAATATAAATGAGTATCAGGAATCTTCCTGGAGATAAAGAATGGCCGGCGTGTAAGGCTGTCAACCTCACCGCCATCTGTGAGCCGTTTTTCTAGAAAATGTGGGAGCCTCGACGTCTCACAGCCCTATGGGCCTTCACGGTCTGTTACAGGGATAACTTTACCCTGCCTTTTACATTTACGCCCATTCACTTCTCAGGACGAACGGAAATACGAAAAGAAACACAATGGAGTCTTGACTCCCCTGTATCAAGAGTTTGCTATTATTCGGTAAAAGACACAATGAATCTGTGAGGAAAATCGTGTCACGTGTTAGGCAGCATATGAAAACAAAACAAACTCCGTGGCCTGTAGTCCGTAAGCGAAATATACCGACCGCCCCTTGTCGGCGAAATTAGTGTCACCCTTTGCGGATAGAGGGGGTCACGTGGTCAGCGCAACGGATCCTCACGGCCGTTAATCTCAGTTTTCTAGACTGGAGCCGCTATTTCCTTAACATAGCTCCTCAGTTATCCTCCCGAGGCGGAGTGGACTCCATTCCCGACCCACTACTTCTCAGAACACCTGGTAGTGACAGTAATCGAACCCGGGACCTCTGGATCTGTAGGCAGGAACTCTATCCCCTAGACCGCAGAGGCGGTCAACATATGAAAGCAGGGCAACAAAATGTCTTTGGTAAACTACACAAGTATAGTAGAGATTTGTCTTACTGTAGTCACAAACACTGGAAGCCGTCAGATGAGGAGACAATAAATGGATATCTAGGATATTTATCCCAGGTTTTAACACTTGCTATTTCCAAGGACATCATAAGCTGCTCTGCATCCTACTGCCTCTATCCCAGGAGAAGTGGCTGCAATCTAATTGCTTGCCCACGCCTGGTATCGAAGTTAGAAATGCGAGAAAATTTACTTACAGTATTCCCCACTTCTCATGATCGGCGCACCGTCTTACATTTCGTGGAAACACTGGCAGAAAAACTGCACATATTTAAGTCACGCTGGATGGGGGAGAATGGAAATTCATATAGACAGGAGGAACAATACCGCCAGGAAGACCTAAACGTTAAGTGGGAGGATAATATTAAGATTGATCATATATAAATGGAATGGGGTGTTACGGACTGGATCTGGCACAGAATAAGTACCAATGCAGGACTCTTGTGAACATGATAATGAAATCTGGGCTCCGTAATATGTTGGGAAATTCTTGAGTGGCTGAGGGAGTCGCGGCTTCTCAAGATGAATTCAGTTCCATAGAGTTAATTAATGAGTTATTCATTGTGCATAATCCTTGCTGGAAAATAGGACAATTTATCGTGATATCCTGAACAAGCAGACACAACACTAAATGTTTGATCAACTGCTTTACACATAGACAAATATTCCATCATGGAGATGGAACTGTATCAGTGAATTCATATAAAACTGTCACTGATGCACGCAAAGCAAATTAGTAAGTATCCAGAGATGACAGAAACAAGCTGTAGGAGATTCAGACTTTAAACTTCAGCAGAAGGGATCTGCTGAATATCCTCTGAGGATAAAACGAGCTATCGAAATTAGGTCACTATTAGCTATCGATATTCCTTGGCGCGCAATTTTATCCACCGCGGGTTTCAAGTATCAGCCCTCTTCTATTTGTATTGTATTTGCCGAAGGAGATTTTTGTTTCAAATGTCCCTGTTTGTGTAGTTAGTTTTTAGTTTTTTGGGTGGGGTGAGACTAAGTGCACTTGGTACGTCGGCCACTAATTGTTCTATTGTACCAAACCCGATGATAGATGATGAGTGTGAAGCAGTCGGTGGAATGAAAATTGGCAGGGGAACCGAAGTACTCGCAGAAAACCTGCCTCAGTTCCACTTTACTCACCACAAATCAAACATGACCTGACTTTGGCTCGAACCAGGGTCGCAGCGGTGGAAAGTCGGCGACTAACCGCCTGAGCTATTAGGGCCGCGCCATAGCTCAAGCGGTTAGTTGATGGTTTCCCATCGCGGCGGCCCGGGTTCAATCCCGGGTCTGGTCAAGTGGGATTTGTGGTGGACAAAGTGGCGGTGGGGCAGGTTTTCTCCGAGTACTTCGGTTTCCCCTGCCAATCTTCATTTCACCAATTGCTCCACAATCACCCTCACCTATCATATGGGGCTGGTACAATAGGCCAGTAGTGGCAGCAGTACACCCCACTAACGAAAACAATAACGCCTGAGCTATGGCAAGGCCATTCGTTGTTTGAGTATATATGAAAAACAGATCCGAGGATTGAGAGAGAGAGAGAACAAGAATAAAAAGATGCAGAAACTATAGTAGAAGAGTCTCCTATTTGTATTATATTTTGCCGAAGGAGATATTTGTTTTATATATCCCTGTTTGTGTAGTAAAGTGAAAAGTCCTGGGGAAAAGGGACAGACAGTGTTGTGGAGAAGAAAAAGGAACATCTTTGTTATAAGTTCCTCAGACTTCGCCCGCTAGTCGTTCTGATACGAGAAGAGCGCAAGTGAAGATGTTAGAACCTTAGAAGAAGCGGCTTGAAGGAGGAACCGCGCCATTTTCATTTCTGAATTAATGTCGATATATAATTTAGAAAAATTGTATTGGCTATGACAGGACTTGGGCTTAATTTTGACGAATATAAGTCGGGAGGATTGCCATGAGAAGCAGGCGTTAGCAGCTTGGAGGTTGGAAACCATCTCAGTGTTTGCTTGAAGACAAAGGAAAACCCAAAGAAAATTTGTGTCGAAATGGTCGGTACTGATGTCTATCCAACAAACCGGAAAGTAAAAGAATGTGGGAGATTCCCTAATATTTCCCTACCGTTCATCGCATATATAAATGATAATTGGAGAAATACTGATTCAAATATTAGACTTTTCGCAGATGACTGTATAATTCATTCATTCATCAGTAATCTGTCAAGA